TGTCACTGTCCAATGTCCCATCATATTTTTCAAAAAGAGTGTTCTGACCTTATTAATGTTCTTGGCAACTTTGTTGAAAATGAATTGACCTTGGGGCTGGCGCCGTGGCTCACTTGGCTAATCCTCCGCCTGCGGCGCCAGAATCCCATATGGGCACCAGGTTCTAGTCCCGGTTGCTCCTCTTCCAGTCCAGCACTCTGCTGTGGCCCAGGAAGGCAGTGGAGGATGGCCCAAGTGCTTGGGCCCTGCACCCGCATGGGAGACCAGGGGGAAGCACCTGGCTCCTGGCTTCAGATCGGCGTAGCTCCGGCCGTAGCGGCCATTTGGGGGGTGAACCAACGGAAGGAAGACCTTTCTCTTTGTCTCTCCCTCTCACTGTCTGTAACTCTACCTGTCAAATAAATAAATAATCTTAAAAAAAAAAAAAAGAAAATGAATTGAGCATGTATTTGTTTCTTTTTCTTTTTTTCATCTCTATTCCACTGATCTGGTTTTTGTGCTTATGCCAATGCCAAACTGTCTTAATTACTGTTGCTTTGTTTTATGTTTTGAAATAGGAGGAGAGTTCTCTGATTTTCTTCTTTTTCAAGAGTATATTGGGTGTTTATTGTCCCTTTCAATTTCATGTGCATTTAAGGATTGGCTTTTCCGTTTCTCCAAATAAGTCATCAGTATCGCATTGATACATAGAGTTTTTTGGAGTGTATTACCATCTTAAATCTTGTAGCTATGAACACGCATGGGTATATTTCCGTTTATTAGGTCTACTTTAATTTCTTTCAGCACAACGTTTTGTACTTTTCAATATTCACATGTGTACCTCCATCAGTAGATTTAGTGCTATGTATTTTATTCTTTTAAAAATTTTAAAAATTATTTTCTAATTGAGAAGCAGAGAAAAAGGGGAAAAAGAGAGTACTCTGATCTGCTGGTTCACTTCCCAAATCCCCTTAACAACTGGGTAGGGGCCAAAGCTAGAAACCAGAAACACAGTCTAGGTCTCCCGTGTGAGTGGCAGAAGTGCAATTTCATAAGCCCTTAGCTGCTGCTTCCCAGCATTTGCAATGACAGTAAGTTGGTAAGGAGCAGAGGTAAGTATCAAACCAAGGGACTCTGTTATGGGATATGGGACAGCAGCATCCCAGCTACCAGGCCAAACACCTACCTCTTATTCTTTTTCATGGTGTTATAATTGGGGTTTTATTTTTCTGACTAGAGCAGCTAGTACTTTTTTTAATAGAAAGGGCAAAAGCAGACATCCTTGTCTTGTTCCTGTTCTTAGGAAAGTTCTCAGCCCTTTACCATTGATAATATTGTTAGTGGTGTGATTTTCAATATGCTCTTTAGAAGTTTGAGATAATTCTTTTCATTCCTAAAATACTGAGAGTTTTTATCATGAAAAGATGTTAGTTTTTTTCAGTAGTGTTTTTTCATGAGTTCAGATGATTGTGTTCTCTGTTTGCTTCATTCTGTTAATCTTGTGTATTAGAGTGATTGATTTTCTGGATTGAAACACCTTTGCATTGATGGGATAAATCCAAATTGATCATGACGTATAGTGTATTAAATATGTTTTTGGTTTTGCTTGCTATTATTTTGGTGTGGATTTTTGTATCTGTGCAGGTGGTCCTTAAGATGGTTTTTTGATTTGCAGTTATTTAGCTATGATCATGTAAAATTATACCCGTATAACCATTGTATTTTTCAGTTGTAGTATAATATTCTGTAAATTACATGAGATATTCAACCTTATTATTAAATAAGCCTTAGGTTTAACATTTTTTATTTACCTGAAAGGAAGAGTGACAGAAGAAAGAGAAATAACTTTGACCCAGTGGTTCACTGCCTAAATGCCCACAATAGCCAGGGTTGGCCAGGCTAAAGCAATGAGCCAGGAACTCCATCTAGGTCTGCCACATGGAACTAAAGAACTAAAGTACTTTGACATCATCTGCTGTATCCCAGAGTACACATTAGCAAGAAGCTGGATCAGAAGTAGACGCAGTACTTAATCCCAGGCACTTCAGTATATTATAGGATGTGGCTGTCCCAAACAGCCACTTAACCTACTATGCCACAAGACCTGCCTAGGCTTTGTGTTTAGATGATTTTGCCCAGGTATAGACTAATGTAAGCAATTTTTAGAGTTTTTGAAATTGATTTTCATTTTATCTGAAACGGATAAATATAAATGTGTGTGTGTGTGTGTGTGTGTATGTTAACTGAAAGGTTTTTTTCTGATGATAGGATAGACCACCCCCAAGTTGTCTTCTGGTTACTATGTATGTGGAATATTTTTTTTTCAATCCTTTCTTAAAATTTTATTTATTAATTTATTTGAAAGGCAGAGTTAGAGAGAGATCTTCCATCTGCTGGTTCACTCCCCAAATGGTCGCAACAGCTGGAGCTGAGCAAATCCAAAGCCTGGAGGCAGGAGCTTCTTCTGGGTCTCCTACACGGTTGCAAGGGCCCAAGAACTTGGACCATTTTCTGCTGCTTTCCCAGGCCATAGCAGAGAGCTGGATTGGAAGTGGAGGGGCAGGGACTCAAACTGGTGTCCATAGTTGCTGGCTTTACCTGTTATGCCACAATGCCAACCCTATTCATTTAAAAAAATTTATTCTGCTGATTTCTGCTGTTTGAGGAGTTCAGCCCATTTACATTTAAAGTAATTACTGATAAGAAAGAATTTTCTTCTTTTTTTTTATTCCTCCATTACTACCTTTGGTGTTGAATTAACTTTAGTTTTACTCTATATTGATTCTCCTTATTTCTGTTTCTCAAGTTTTTTTTTTTTTTTAGACTTTTATTTAGTAGATATAAATTTCCAAAGTACAGTTTATGGATTACAAATGGCTTTACCCCCCCATAACTTCCCTCCCGCCCACAACCCTCCCATCTCCCCCTCCCTCTCCCATTCCATTCACATCAAGATACATTTTCAATTATCTTTACATACAGAAGATCAATTTAGTATATATTAAGTAAAGATTTCAACAGTTTGCACCCACACAGAAACAGAAAGTGTAAAATACTGTTTGAGTACCAGTTATAGCATTAATTCACATTGGACAACACATTAAGGACAGAGATCCTACATGAGGAGTAAATACACAGTGACTCCTGTTGTTGACTTAACAATTTGACACTCTTGTTTATGGCGTCAGTAATCTCCCTAGGCTCTAGTCTTGAGTTACCAAGGCTATGGAAGCCTCTTGAGTTCACTGACTTCGATCTTATTCAGACAAGGTCATAGTCAAAGTGGAAGTTCTCGGCCAGTGCCGCGGCTCACTAGGCTAATCCTCCGCCTTGTGGCGCCAGCACACTGGGTTCTAGTCCCGGTCGGGGTGCCAGATTCTGTCCCGGTTGCCCCTCTTCCAGGCCAGCTCTCTGCTGTGGCCCGGGAGTGCAGTGGAGGATGTCCCAAGTGCTTGGGCCCTGCACCCCATGGGAGACCAGGAGAAGCACCTGGCTCCTGCCATCGGATCAGCACGGTGCGCCGGCCACGGTGGCCATTGGAGGGTGAACCAACGGCAAAGGAAGACCTTTCTCTCTCTCTCTCTCTCTCTCTCTCACTCACTGTCCACTCTGCCTGTCAAAAAAAAAAAAAAAAAAAAAAAGTGGAAGTTCTCTCCTCCCTTCAGAGAAAGGTACCTCCTTCTTTGATGACCCGTTCTTTCCACTGGGATCTCACTCGCAGAGATCTTTCATTTAGGTCCTTTTTTTTTTTTTCAGAGTGTCTTGGCTTTCCATGCCTAAAATACTCTCATGGGCTCTTCAGCCAGATCCAAATGCCCTAAGGGCTGATTCTGAGGCCAGAGTGCTGTTTAGGACATCTGCCATTCTATGAGTCTGCTGTATATCCCGCTTCCCATGTTGGATCGTTCTCTCCCTTTTTTATTCTATCAGCTAGTATTAGCAGACACTAGTCTTGTTTATGTGATCTCTTTGACTCTTAGACCTATCATTATGATCAACTGTGAACTGAAACTGATCACTTGGATTAGTGAGATGGCATTGGTACATGCAACCTTGATGGGATTGTATTGGAATCCCTTGGGAAAGCAGTGGAAGACAGCCCAAGTCCTTGGGGCCCTCCATACATTTGGGAGATCCAGATGAAACTCCTGCCTTCAGCAGGGCCCAGTCCTGACCATTGCAGCCATTTGGGGAGTGAACCAGCAGATTGAATATTTCTCTCTCTGTCTCTGTCTCTGCCTCTGTGTATCTGTAGCTGCCTTTCAGTTAAATAAAATAAATCTTAAAAAAAAAAAACTTACTGAAAGCACTATGATACAATTATCAATTTAATATGAAGGATACAACCCAGAAGGAGCTTAGTGGAAGCAATGCAGATAAGTCTAACTGCAGGGAGACAAAGAGCTTTCTTGTGGAATCTTCTAGTTGCATCCTTCCTGTTGCCTCCTTGTTCCCAGCACATCAATGTTCACCAACCAGGAAGCTCTACCTGTGTCCAGGGTTTCTACTGGGGATTCATTACATGAGCTCCAAATCATTTGCCATGTAATTGAACACGGTCTTCAGCATTTTGCCCCAGAGATCTTACTAGTTCTTCATTTCAACCCTCTAATGATGTAGGTCTCTGACCAGCCTCAGCCTGATGGTATCCAGTGACTTGAATCAAGTCATTACCATAACAAAGGTATTCTTGTTATTCAGAATGTTCCAAGCTTACAATTCTGTGCCAAAAGCTTCACAGATTCTTCAGCCTTTATTATACCATACTCATAAAGTAAGATTTTACAGATAATGTGACATTTGAGTGATTTGTAAGATGGATAAGATTTAAACATTTGAAAACAGGGAAAAGGGCATCCCAGGCTGAGAAAATAGCATTAGCAATCTCACCTAGAGGCTCAGCATATAGAAATATTTCAAATACTTTCTTAGTGTAAGATATTAAAAAGGAAAACATAAAGCTAGATTGGGTCTGTCATTTAATAATAAATTATTAATCATAAAATCTTTTGTTCCTACAGAGCAGAAGAAAGAAGAGATTTATTCTTGTTTTTCCGAAGTCTGCATTTTTTTGTGGAGTGGTATGAATATCGTGAACGAACATTTAAACATTTCAAGGTAATGCCTGAAGTCTTTTAATTGAAATATATGTTAAAATTCAAACTGGTATTTGGCAGATTTGGGATTTTGTTACATGCCAGACACCTTGCAGTATTAATTTGGGATTTGGCCACAACATACTTTTCTTAGTGTTTTCAACCAGTAGAAAATATTTTTTTAAATATTTTTATCAACTCTGGAATTTGCAGTTACTTGGGTAAAGGAAAGGGTGCTAATGTGCAAACCAATGCATATATTCTGGAATATCTTGAAAGAAATGTGGTTATATTGTAAGTTACTTTAAAATGCACATTTTGAAAGGTCAGTCTTTGAACACACTTAAAGTAGAAAACTAAATGCTAATAAAAAATATAATCCTACCAGGTTTACCCTGTAAATCTTAACTTACTGAGCCAGACTCTATCTTAAGCTTCTCAATTATGGTACATTTTGAGTTTAAATATTGAAGCCTGAGTCTTGGGAAGTAATGCTTTTTAGCCTTCTTTTTTGCCCCTTTGTTTTTGGGCATACTCACAATTGTGTAGGGCAGCTTCTTAGTTCGGTAACATCAAATTGTTGACAGCAGTGATCCACATAAAAACCAGTTCTGAAGGAGTCAGCATAAATAGTTCAAGGTCAGTACTTAACACAGAGGATTTTGACTGTGGAACTAACTTTCCTTTGTTTTGGCTTCCATTCCCTTTTATTACTATGAACTTTATTCTGTTTAGTTGAGCTCATGCAATCTTTTGGCACGGGTTTTCTCTAGAAAGAAACATGAGCAGTTCTGTACTGTGGTCCCTGAAGGAATGCTTGTGATTCTGTTGTGTTTTCTAGCAGATGGTCTTGTGGCAGCACACTATCTCTCCTTCACTACTGGGGAAATACAGTGGTGACCGAGGACAGTACTGGCAGTGCAGTTCTGGTACTAAGGCAGTCACCTAACACTGTACTTAAATGGGGGTGGGAAGATAAGCTTCAGTTCCCTTTTCCAAAGCTGATTTCATTCTGGGTGCATTCCAGGAAGAGATGTTTTTCCTGTGGAAGATAGGGTGCTTCTACAAACTGGTCTTTCCTGGTGATAACATTGCTAGGATGGAAAAAATCAGCCACACTATTCTTCAACCATTAGTACTATCCTTCTCCGGAACTTTTCCATCATCACAAATGGAAACATCTACATTAAACACTCTATTCTGTCTTCCGCAGCCCTTGGTAACCACTATTCTATTTTGTTTCTATGAATTTGACTAGTACTTTACATGAGTGGAGGGTCCTTTTTGTCTGGGTTATTTCACTTTGCATTATATCCTTGAGATTCATTCATGTATCAGATTGTGTCAGGTTTAGCATGAGTCATTTTTCCTTGTTTCCATCATATGTATGTACTACATTTTGTTTATCTATTCATCTCTCAGTGGACACTTGGGCTGCTTCTACCTTTTGACTGTTGTAATAAAAAAGAATGGAAGCAAAAACAAAGGAAAGTTAGTTCCTCAGTCACAATCTTCTGTGTTAACCTGACCTTGAACTATTTATGCTGACTGCTTCAGTCTATAAATGTCATTATACAAATACCTATCCATGTCCTTGCTTTTAGTTCTTTTAAATATATACCTGGAAGTGGAGTTGCTGTCCCCTTGCCAGTCCCATTCTCCATTAAGATTCATTTTCAGTTAGCTTTGTGCACAGAAGACCAACTCTATACTAAGTAAAGATTTCAATCATTTGCATACACACAAAAAAACTGAGAATTACTTTTACAATTAATGTTCATAACTCATTGAGGACAGAGGTCCTGCATGGGGAGTTAGTACACAATGACTCCTGTTGTTAATTTAACAATTAACACTCTGATATGTGACATCAGTGACCACCCAAGGCTCTTGACATGAGCTGCCAAGGCTATGGAAGCCTTTTGAGTCCAAAAACTCCATCAGAATTTAGATAAGGCCATAAGCAAAGCATAAATTCTCTTCTCCCTTTAGAGAGAAGCATACCCTCTTTTGATGACCACTTCTTTCCACTGGGGTCTCACTCACAGAGATCCTTCATGTAGAATATTTTTTGCCACAGTGTCTTGGCTTTCCATGCCTGGAATGCTCTCACGGGCTTTTCAGCCAGACCAGGAAGCCTTAAGGGCTGGTTTTGAGTCCAGGGTGTTACTTAAAGCAATTGTCATTGTATGAATCTGCTGTGTGGACTGCTTCCTATGTTGGAAAATTCTTTCCTTTTTAATTCTATCTATCACCAGACACTTGATCCTATTTATATGATCACTTTAACACTTAATCCTATCTATATGTTCATTTTAACACTTAATATGATCACTTTAACAGTTAAGATGGCATTTTTACACCGAGCTAGATAAAGAAATAATGGGATATGTACATTATGGAATACTACACAGCAGTAAAAAAAAAAATGATATCCAGTCATTTGCAACAAAATGGATGAATTTGGAAAACATCATACTTACTGAAATAAGCCAGTCCCAAAGGGACAAATACCCTATCTTTTCCCTGATCTGTGAGAACTAATAGAGCACCTAAAACAAAATCTGTAGAAGTGAAATTGACACTTGATGACTTGAGCTGCCTTTGTCTGTTGAACAGTTTCAGTTTTTTGTTTTTTCGGGTTTTTTTCTTCATACTATTTGTTGAACTCTTTACTTAACAGTTCAACTGAGGATGGATCTCAGTAAAAAATAAGAGAAGAAAGAGGAAGTTTGTAACTGTAAAGCTGCATAGTTTTGCATACATTCCTATGGGCTTATACAGCTTAAAAACTCGTCATGGGACTCCAAATCCCATTAAGTTGGGTGGTAAAAATGTCATTATGGTTTTGATTTGTACCTTCCTAATGATAATGATGTTGAACATCTTTCATGTACTTATTGCCTATTAGTATCTTTGGTGAAATTTCTGTGTAGGTCCTTTGCCCATACTTTGCAAATATTTTCTCTGGGTTGTGTTTTTACTATCTTGACAGCATAATTTGATGTGTGAAAGTTCTAAGTTTTATGAATTCCAGTTTATTTTTTCTTTCATTTCTTATGTTTTGGGTTTCATGTCTAAGAAGTCATTATCAAATTTCACATCATAGGCCGGCGCCACGGCTCAATAGGCTAATCCTCCACCTAGCGGCGCCGGCACACCAAGTTCTAGTCCCGGTCAGGGTGCTGGATTCTGTCCTGGTTGCCCCTCTTCCAAGCCAGCTCTCTGCTATGGCCCAGGAGTGCAGTGGAGGATGGCCCAAATGCTTGGGCCCTGCACCCCATGGGAGACCAGGATGAGCACCTGGCTCCTGGCTTCAGATCAGCACGGCGCGGCGGCCATTGGAGGGTGAACCAACAGCAAAGGAAGACCTTTCTCTCTGTCTCTCTCACTGTCCACTCTTCCTGTAAAAAAAAAAAATTTTTTTTCACATCATAAAGAGTTTTGCCAGTTTTTTTTCCCTAAGAATTATATGGCTTAGCTCTTAAGTTTAGGTCGTTGATCCATTTTGAGTTAATTTTTATATATGGTATAAGGTAATGGTCCAGTTTCATTGTTTTGCATGTGGATATCTGGTTTTCTGAGCACTGTTTGTTGAGAGTATTCTTTTGCCCATTGAGTGGTCTTGGTACACTTGTTGAAAATCATTTAACCATAGAAGCAAGAATTTATTTCAGAGCTCTCTAGTGTATTCCATTGATTGAACGTCTGTTCTTGTTCCATACTACTCTTTTGATTGCTGTAGCTTTGTAGAAAGTTTTGAAATTAGGAAGTATTCATTGTTCTTTTCAAGATTTTTTTGTTCAAGTTCTCTTAAGATTCCATATAAATTTTGGGGTGGATTTTTCTGTTTGCATAAAAAATATCATTATGATAGAAGTTGCATTGAATCTGTTGATTGTTTGGGGTTATATTGGCATCTTAATATATTAAATTTTCTAACCCATGAGCACAGAGTGTCCTATTTATGTATGTCTTCATCCGTCTGTTTTAGCCACGTTTGTAAGGAGTAAATTGTATACAGTTTTAAGTTTTAGTTGACTATTAAAATCAAGAATGAGATATTATTTAATATGATGGATTCAGAATATTTTTCTTTTTGTATTACCTCTGGTACCTTCTTGAACACAGGAACTAATTTAAATTGCGTTATTTCTGATTGAAGGGTGTGTATATGAAGGCCTAAGATAGCCATGTTCCTATCTTCTTAACGAGAAGTCCCAAAATTCTTTAAGAAAATTCTGTACTTCAGACTTTTTACTGTGACCTTTTTCCCATGCTTAACATTTTTTTCTTCTACTATTGGCTATTAAATTTGAGTAATTTTATAGTGTTTTTCTTGGTAAGTTTTATTACTTAAAAAAATAAGAGTATTTTATTCTTCTGGAAACTAGAAACTTGACAGATGTCTCCTGTGACCACTTTCCCTGGTCTTGTTCTCAGCACTGAGCCCTTCTAGGACAATGAACACGTTGTTCTAGATGAAGTTACAGTTTATTTGTACTGACCATTCAAGATTGTGATAAAGATTGTACTTTTGAAATAAAACAGAACCTTTCTGGTTAGGTGGATTTCACAATATTTATTGTATATTCAATTCAGATGTGCTCATAGTGAGCGTTCAGTCACAGAGAAATGAGGCATGCACACAAAATTATAAGAAAGCATACAATATTTATGATCGTTAATATCAAAATAAGTGAATGAATTAGTAAGCATTGTGAGGGTAATACTGTGGCCTTAAGAGATCACAGATGCTTTAGTGAAAAAACTTCAATTTTGGAATCAGCTTTGACAAATGGGGTGAATAATTGAAAAACAGATATGAGATCATTCTAGGTAGGGGGAAGAAACAAGCAAGTGCTTTTAAAATGGGAATAAGAATGTGTTCTGGGAATAGTATATACAGAAGCTAACTTGATTCAAAGGTGTAATTTATAATAGAAATAATGCTGATTTTTCATATATAGTTTGGATTCATGTTTCTAAAACACTGAAAAGCTTTTTTATTTACACAAAGTAGTGTTGTAGACTAAGACTTTTAAGTAGGTTATAAGGAGAGTTATTTTAGGAACTTTAATCTGGCAGCATTGTGATATAGAACATTTAACGTCTCATGTTAAATGTTTTCATTCATCAAGGGTGTTTGGAAACATTGCTCTGAAACCAGTTTGAGTGAACATGTATGGATAATGGGAATGTGGTAGCAGTAACACCCTAGCATGTACTTTATTTTCCTTTCCTATGTTGGAAAAAATTTGTTGATGACATTCTCATTCCTGCAGTGTAAAATTAAAATAATTTGCAGTTACCTCATATTCAAAAACCTTTACAATGGAGAACCTTACAGCTATTCTCTGGAAATCAGGTTGAACTTCTGGGATTTTTTGTGTGAACTTACTGGGTTTGGCCTGCTTGACTTTCTTAAAAGTTCTGTGGTAAACTTACAATGTTAAGTTTTAGATGAATTTTTTTTACTATTTTACTAAATATTTTAAGTGTGACCACAAAGTAGAATAACTTTCAACATTTCTATGACAACTTTTTATCAGAGTAAAATTTTACTTTACTTGGAAAATTTTGCCTAGGTTTGGGACTATACCCTATTTTTGCACTGAGTGAAATATAATAATAAAATAGCTGCTTTGATAGGAAGAAAACAAAGTTCCTGCTTCTTAGTGCCTGATGTGTGAGTCATAAAGGAAAATGGAGACTGCTGGAAATACTCAGCTTTGCAGAGCTTTGGGAACAGCTGCCTTAAATATTTTCAAGATATGGTAAAGGCCAGGAAAGGCAACAGTTGAGAGTTTCTTGGATTTATCTTCTCAGTTAATTTGTAATGGAAATAGTGCATCTCAGATTGGAGTATTTACATGCCTTTTAAATGGTAGTCTGGTATGAACTGGAAGAATTTTGTAATGTTGTTTAAATAGTTTCACATTACTTTGTTTTGAACTTGGTGATTGGAGCTTTTTACTTGCCATATGTAAGACTTTGAACATGCTTGCTTAAAACAAAATTCTTTCATAGTAAAGTACAAAGTTAGTATTAAGCCAATGCTTGCATTTCTTTAGACATTGTGGAGATAGATTATGAGTATTTGTTTATATGCTGTGTTGATCATGCTTAAAAGTATGTCCCTATAGGTAATCTTTTCAAGCAAATGAAACTGTTTGGATGCTTTCCCAAAGCAATTGGATTGCCCTCCAGCCGTATTTCTTCAATGCGGTCCCGTATGTAACGAGTATCATTAGCCTTGCAGAATGTATCATCTGTAATTGATGTTATGTTGTTAAACTGAAAAATAAGAAAAAAATGTTTAGAAAACCTATATATCTATGTAATGGGATCACATAATATTTTTATTTAAAAAGTGATTTTTAAATATTATGCCAACTATGTATCCTCATTTAATGAAACCCTCTTAGGGCAATCTGAGCTCCCCTCTAAAAATCCAGTGTTATCAAGGTGGACTAGAATATGAGCTTTTACTCAGAGTAACATATATGAAACAACATCCTAAGTATAGATGGAATTATACTAGATAGGCAAAGAATCCTGCTCTACAGTATCAACTTCAAGTGGACATTGTGTCCTGTAATATACTTTAACGAAGTAAAAAGAACATCTGAGAATTCTTGTGATACTGAGAGATTGGTTTTAGTTTATTCTCTTTTCCTCTTAATTGTTGCATTACCTTAAGTTGGTATACTAGAAAACACCAGGAAGGTCTGCAAAAGTAAATATTTACTACTGTTTTAGGAAGAAACATACATCAGAGGTGTTAAGTATCCCTCACTTCAAGTTCCTATTTCAGATTAGGCAACACCAGGTGCAGATCAGAGGACAAGTCGCCCCAAGAGCAGGTTTTGCCCCTGTTGCTGGTTGACTGGCTGTGCCCTGCAGGACACACTACCAGGACATCACACTACCATGGTGACCTTACCTGTAAACAGATTGTTTCCCAAAGCACTTAAGATTGACCAATAGATCATTGAAGTCCCATACTTTGAAAGATGAAATCATACCTGAAGGTGAATTACACGCAAACTTTCTGGCAGATTAGGAGGCACAGATTCTAGGGCATTGTGGTCCAAGTACAGGAAAGAGAGGTTATTCAGTTTCTATAAAGAAAATTTTGTTTGAGTGTTATTGAAGTCTGCATTATTTAAAATAATTTGAGCAATGCACCTAAATATGTGTATTGACCTAAATACGTACCACTCATAGCAGTTACTGGTATGATTGATTGTTTGTATTCTGGCTTCACAATCAGTGTGTTTGGTTCCTTTATGACAGCTGACAGATCTTTGTTACTTATCCCTAATTTCTTTTTTTAAGATTTATTTGAAAGGCAGAGCAAGAGATAGAGGTCTTCTGTCCACTGATCCAGTCCCCAACTGACTGCCCCCTCCAGGGCTGCGCCAGTCCAAAGCCAGGAGGCAAGAACTCTATCCTGCTCTCCCACCTGGGTGCAGGAGCCCAAGTACTTTGTCCATCTTCTGCTGCCTTCCCAGGCACATTAGCAGAAAGCTGGATTGGAGGCACAGAGTAGTGGGAACTTGAACCAGAACTCTTGTTACGGGATTCCTAACAACACCGGTACTGCATATCCCCCATTTCATTCATCTGAGCTCTGGATATCCAGCCTCAATGCCAGCATCAGAGACCTTTGATGGGGTCAGTCCTGATGTGGGACTGAATTTTGACCCAGGTGCTATCGTAATGTCTCCTGAGCCTCCAGACCTCCCCATCTCAACTCCACCCATTTCTAGCAAAATGGTTATTCCTAATAGATGTGTGTGCTTATCAAGATGTTTACTAAAGCAGTTTATTAAATACTTAGCTTGATGTGGCTTTTTCTATAAAAAAAAAAAAGTTAGGTTACTCTTCATGATCAGTAACCCATTATTGTGTATAATTGTATACCATGATTCTAGAATGTCGTTTCCCCTGACATTACTTTTACCTCAGCTTTTATAGGCGTCCTGTGCCAAGTTTTGCTAATTGTTTCCTGTGCTGTTATTTTAATCCTTTCTTAAGTATCCTACCATTCCATACTTAAGACCTACCACCCATCTCTACAGGGTACCTCACTCCCTTGAGTTAGAGTAGTCTGATTTTTTAAAAAACATTTATTTATTTATTTAAAAGTTACACAGAGATGGGAGAGGGAGAGAGAGAGAGAGAGAGAGAGAGAGAGAGAGAGAGAGAGATCCTCCCTCTGATATTTCACTCCCCAACCGGCTGCAATGGCCAGAACTATGCCAATCTGAAGCCAGGAGCAGGAGCCTCCTCCGGGTCTCCCACACAGATGCAGGGGCCCAAGGACCCAGGCCATAGCAGAGACCTGGATTGGAAGTGGAGCAGTCAGGACTAGAACCAGTGCCCACATGGGGTGCTGGCACTTCAGGCCAGGGCGTTAAACGCTGCGCCACAGTGCCAGCCCCAAGTATTCTGATCTTAACCTGAATTTGGGATTTAAGCCCACCTATATAGTAGCCAGTTTTGTCATCTTATGCCATCCTGTGACCAACTCAAAATATTTGGACATCCTTTCATGAAATGTTAACCAGTTTTTGTAAGTCTTTAACATTCCTGTTATTCAAAAAAATAGTATTTTCAAATTACAATTTAAAAAAATAAAAAAGTCTGCTTTTTAAAAATTGTCTGAGTTCCTTAACATCTGAATCTCTCATAAAAAACATCAGACTGACTCTGATGTAGCTTTAAACAAATGTCCATTAAAGCTGAAAAGGGATACCTTAAATATAAACAAGAGAGAAGGGAAGAAAAGTAGAATATTTTTACAGTTTTCAACTGGCTACATTTGTGGACAAATTGTACATTTGTGTATTTACAATAAACTTTATGATGAATATGTGAGAATTTTATATCCTTTCATTAGGAGTTATCTTTAGTAGCTACAAATTTGCCTTCTGAGGGAGGTTTTGTCTCTAGCCAATAGCAGCATGACCATTTCTTCCTTTTGTCTGAGTTTACCCTGCAGAACTGTGAATGATCAGGTCAGAGGTATGGAAATCTGGGCTGAGGTGGTTACTTTTATACATCATGAGTTTTGGGATAACCTGGCTACCTAAATCAAAGTAGATCACCTTCCCTTTTTCTACATAATTTTTCCTTAAATTACTGGATTAAGAAATACACTTAATTCTTACTATATGTGGAACTTCTTGTTAGATGTCATTATGGAAATAAAAGAAAACTCTACCTACAGAATTTTATAGTCTTTTATTTTAAAGATTAAAAGGCAAATCTAGTGTTTGCTTTTAGAACTTTCTTTTTTACTGACATTTGTAAATTGCCAGTATTTTCAGGACAAAGAAACAGAAAAGTCCCATTTGAGTTTTTTGTATACTGTAAGTGCCATGAGAGGCCAACCAGGTCTGTCTAAATAATTATTTGCTGTGTGAACATGTGCAAACACACACACACACACCCTTGAAACAAGGTAAGGGTTATACATTTTAAGTAAGTTGTGGATGGGCATAAGCTAAGCTGAATAAGCCTAATAGTATAGCTATGTAAATGTTATCTTCATTTCTTAAATCAAGATGATTTAAAAATGTAATCAAAACAGAATTATAGATCAAAATTATCACCAATACTGTGTTTAGACATACTATAAAATACTTACTTTGAATGTGTTTGCTTTGATTCCTCTACTCTTGATTTTATTATATTTTGCATTAAATAAAGTGAGCTTGGGAGGAAGAACTGGGAGTTTCAGTAGTTGATTTTCAGCAAGTGAAAGTTCTTCTAACAGAGCAAGTTTTGAAAAAGTACCATCTTCTATGTCTTCTATCAAATTTCCCGTAAAATCAAGCCTTCTTAAGTTAGCTTTGAAGGAAGAAATATACAAAAAATATGAAATTAAATTCTGATTGTGTGCACGGAAGAAAAGCATTTGTTTAACAGATCATTCAAGCATCTTTTACGTTTGGTGTCTAGTGGGTGTCTGCAGTTAGTGCTCAATAATGTCTGGTCAAATGAACTCTGAGTACCTGTCTGTGCCTGGCATGATGCCATTTCAAATGGCAGTTTTCAAATCTTAGCTTGACAGGAGTCTTAATGTTTCTTCCTCTGAATTTCTTGGTATGCACAGGCAATTGTGCAAATTATGGGAAGTAAGCATTTATAAATGTAATATTATTTTTGGATTCTTTGCCAGCATATTGACTTGTAGTTGTGGTATGTTAATTTTTTTAAAATGCTCAAGCCTGCCTGCCTGTCTTTTTTTGTTTTTGTTTTAATTTTAAAGACATACTGCAAAAGAGCTCCCACTCACTGTTTCACTCCCTCTCCTAAATCCCTCAACAGCTATGGCTGGGCCAGGCCAAGGTCAGGAGCTAGGAATGCAATCCAGGTCTCCCAGGTGGGCAGCAAGGAACCAAGTTCTTGAGCCATCACCTGTTGCATTCCAGAGCCTGCACTAGCAGGAAGCTAGAATTAGGAGCAGAACTGGGACTCAGACCCAAGCATCCCAATATGGGGTGCAAGTGTCTAAAGTGGTAACTGGCCCAAACACCCACAACTGTGAGTATGATGTCTTAATCTCTGTGACTTACTGCTTAACAGCAACAAAGACAAAAATGTTCCCTGAGTTCTAAAAGTGATCCAGACCGAGATTGAGAAATTCCTTGTGCATTTCCCTTTTGTCTGGGATGATAACAAAATACAGTTACTTCTTATTCATGGTAGTCATGTTCTCTAAAGTTGCTGGAAATACTAAATTAGTAAACACTGAACCTGTGCTCCTAGAGGGAAATTAGGAGTAGGTTCTCACAAGCCTCTGGTCACATTTTCATCAATTATTACATAACCTTTTTGTATGTGTGGCTTAGTTTAATGACATTTGATATATATATAGTTGAATCATTAATACTGCAATAATATTAAATAATAAACAAAACTTATCTAACATATCTTCTCTGTAAGGCCCAACACAGCCTTCTTGTGCTTAAGAATACTCTAGTGCTTTGCTTGGGGGCAGTTTTCAATAGCAAAATCAACAAAAATGGGGGAAATGTGGCAACAAATGGACTGTGAATGGGTACTTCTTTACAGTATCAGAGCTGAAGCCAGAAGCGAGTATTACCTTATTCATCCTCACCTCAGAATGTGAATTTTAAGTAATTCGAGCTTTTTGCCATTTTATGCGTGTCTGTGAATGACCGTAAAAACACCACATATGTTGATTGGGCTTACAAAGTTTAGCAAGTTGATGAATTCACAAACAGGAAACACACAAGCAATGAGGATCAACTGTACTTCAGTCCACAGTAGGGAGCTACCATGGCAGCATGGATCTAGTTACAGCTAGTCTCATCGATGTGTAGTGAAGCTAGTGTCTTTTTTCTGGGTGTGATTTTCTTCACGAACAACACAGGAATCTAGAATACTGAAAACAAACTAGTAACCCAGGACTGAGATTTGAGATTTGGGTGTGCTGATGGCAGCACCCTAACTGGGTTAAGGTCTTATAGGAAGCCAGAAGTCCAAGATTGTTTAGTGATGGATGGATCAGATGCCACTGCTCTTTTTTTTTTTTTTTTTTTTTTGACAGGCAGAGTGGACAGTGAGAGAGAGACAGAGAGAGAAAGGTCTTCCTTTTGCCGTTGGTTCACCCTCCAATGGCCGCCGCTGCAGCCGGCACACCGCGCTGATCCGATGGCAGGAGCCAGGATCCAGGTGCTTTTCCTGGTCTCCCATGGGGTGCAGGGCCCAAGCACCTGGGCCATCCTCCACTGCACTCCCTGGCCATAGCAGAGAGCTGGCCTGGAAGAGGGGCAACCGGGACAGAATCTGGCACCCCAACCGGGACTAGAACCCGGTGTGCCGGCGCCGCAAGGTGGAGGATTAGCCTATTGAGCCACGGCGCCGGCCATGATGGCACTGCTCTTAACACTATTTTCATGTTAGAATCATCCCAGGAGTTTGGTTTTTAGAAGGATAGTGACTAGGCTTCACCCCAGGCCCAAATTAGAACCTCTGGGAAGTAGCACCTGGAGTCAGAAGTTTGAAAATATTTCTCCAGTTTTCAATTGTGAGCCAGGTTTAAGAATCATAAGTTAAAGAAAAGTAGTTATAGTGCAGGCAGATAATGAAATGTCTGTTTGGAGAAGCATCTCATCTATTTTGGTGCTGCTTACCATCTGAAGCAAAATGTACTTCAAAGTATTGGTGTTGAGTGATGTATTGCCCATTTCTTAGATGGGCTTTCAACATAGACACAGGATTACCAGGAAAGAAATATGATGGGTGTCTGAATGGACAGGAGATTGACCAAAAAACCAGTGGATATTTGTGAAGTGTAGTAGATACTTAGATACTCTAGCAGTGGCAATGGTAGGTGTGCCACCTTTTGTAGAAACTTGTTTGTCTGAGATAAAACATGAGTTAATACTAATATCTTATTTAAACTTAACTTACGCATGTCTGCAAAATCTTTGGCAGTCAGCTTTTTAATTTTGTTGAATCGGGCATAGAGATAGGCTGATTCCTTTGGCAAGGGTGGTACAGCATCAATGTCAACTTCTTCACAGTACACAGAGCCGCTTAAACAGACACATAGCAAGCAAGTGGGCATTTCTAAGTTGGGAAACAAAATCATCAAAGTGTAAGTAGGAGTTTGAAAGTATTTAGCCTCAAATAATAAAATTATTGCCATCAAAAATGCTATTACTAATTTATTTTACAGAATCATTGGGATAGCAGGAAAGAAATGCAGTCATGGTATCGAGTGACCTACCTTGTGTTTGATAATCTACTAGAATGAATGCTGTATTAGTTCCTGCAGTCCACACCCTTTTTTCCCCCTCTGTTTTGGCAATGATTGCTTAATTGCTGAATTGCTGAATTGATTAATAGTTACATTTCCTCATTTGAATACCAAAAAAGTTCATACAGGAATTGGGAAACATGAACTTGATTTATGAAGTTTGGTATGTCAGAAACATTTCAGATTGAGGGCAGTAACAAATGACTTTAGAGACCACTGGTTAAAGAAGCAAACCATTAACAGAGTCATGTAGGCATGTTGGGTTATCATCATATCCTGAGGCATTCACTGCATTTCCTCGTCATGACTTTTTTTCTTTAACCTGCAGTAGTTCTAGAGTCTGTTCCTCATATGTTTAGCTTTGTTAAGAAGTACAGGACTTTTTAAATTTTTATTTTTCAGGGTATTTAAAAGAATTCCTTTAAATTAGAGTTTAAGACTTCTCACATTTGATGGGAGTTCCATGGAAATGATGTTGCGTCCCCTGTGCCTTCTGTGAGGAGGCACATGAGGTCCCTTGTCCCATCCCTCAGAATGTCTTGGGTCACTTGTTTTCAAGTTCTGTCTGCCATGTCTCTCACTCTGTAAAATGTGTGCTTTTCATCTTATTATGAATAGTATCTTCTGGAGAAGTGTTAAGGGATTCTGAATGTCTGGCATGTCATCAAATTTTCAACCATTGGTTTTAGCATCCATTAATTCTTAACTGAATCATTTATCACTAGACTAGTTGTCAAATGGTGATTTTTCTAATTCCATCATTGCTTCTACACTTGTTAGTTGGTATTCTGTACATTTGGATGTTCCCATATTTTTTATCAATATGAATTTTTTTATATCTATGAATTTACGGATTGTCTAACTGATGAGTCATAGTCATTACCACCAGGCTTGTTTTAATAATCAGGTAGTCACAGATTAACCAGTAAGAACCCTTTCAAACTTTTTTTTCTTGCCATAGTTTTTGGGTTAATTGGCATATAACAAATTGCACATATTTTAATTGAGGAACTTGTAAGTTTTAACATAAGTAAATACCCGTGAAGCCTTCATCACCAGTAACATAACTAACACACTCATTACAGGACGAAGTTGCTCGTGTTCCTGATCATCCCTCCCTCCTGCTCTTATCCACAAAGAGCTACTGGTCTGCTTTCAGTCACTATGGTGTGCACTTAAAAGAATTTTATAGCAAATAAAAAAAATCATGCAGTATTTATTCTCTTGTCTGACTTCTCTCCTTCAGCGTAGTTACAAGGGATCATCAAAAAGTTAATGAAAAATACATATTATGGAAAAATTGTGCATTTATTTTGAAAAAATTTTGTTCCAAAATAAGCATCTTTTAACCACTACACAACACTGTCCCTAGAATAAACATCTTTTAATTCAATCTTTTGCTTGAACTTTTTGAAGTATCTTTGTTCTTTGAGAATCATCCATTATTGTTGCATTTATCAGTATTTTGTTCCTCTTTATTAATAGAGTTCCATTGTCAGTATAATTGATACAGTCTTCTCTTATTGAAATTGGGTTTATTACAAGGTTTTGGCTGTTTCATAGCAAACTGATATGAACCTTTATTTTCCAATTCTTGTGGACCTAATACTCTAATTTCTCACAGGTAAGCATCTAGGAATGGAATGGCTGGATCTTACTATAAGGGTGTGTATTTCATCTTTTGAAGAACGTTTCAAACTGTTTTCCAAAGGGCGGAGTCATTTTTCATTTTCACCATCAGTATGTGAGCATTCCAGTTGTTCCACGTCCTTGCCAACATTTGGTATGATCAGTCTTTATTTTTTAAGGAAAAATATTATTTATTTGAAAGGCAGAGTGAGAGAGAGGGAATCTTCCATCTGCTGGCTCACTCTCCAAATAGGGCTGGGCCTGGCCAAAGCCAGGAGACAGAAGCTTCTTCCAGGTTTCCTGCATGTGTGCAGAGGTCCAAACACTTGGGCCCTCTTCCACTGCTTTCCCCAGGCTCATTAGCAGGGAGCTGGATTGGAAGTAGAGCAGCTGAGACTTGAACTGATTACGCGCTGTGCCACAGCATCAGCCCCACCCCACCTTTTGCCTACTTTTAATTGAATATTTATGTTATTTAATTATAAGAGTAAACATTCTAGCTGTAATTCATTTGTAGGATTTGTGTTTGGTAAATGGTTTTTAAGTCTAACTTGTCTTTTTCTTTTTTTTCTGTTTTGAAAAATAGACATTTTAAACTTTGATTAACAACTTATTCCTTTGTAGTTCATGCTTTGTGTATTATATTTAAAAAGTGTTTTCCAACCACCAAATTTTTTATACTTTGCTTCCTTACGGAAGTTATAGTCTTTTACATTTAAGTAGGAGTATCATTTCAATTTAACTTTTACAGATAGTAAGAAAGGCCATGATTCTTTATATTTTTTTCTCCCTTTATGACTGTCTGGTTCTTTGAGCACCACTTTTGGAAAATATTATTCTTTTCCACACTGAACTGTGCTGGCACATTTTCGAAAACAATTTGATCATATTCTATAAGCTCATTTCTGGACTCTCTTATGTTCTTAGTTTGTTTTAAGTTCTTATACCACTACCACAATATCTTGATTCTTGTAACTTTATCATAAGTCTTTTTAAAATTTTTATTCACTTTTTAAATTTATTTGAAAGGCAGATATAAAGAAACATCTTCCTTCCTCTGGTTCATTCTCCAAATGCCTGCAATAGCTGGCTGGGCCAGGCCAAAGCTGAGAGTTGGGAACTCAATACCAGGTTTTCCACATGGGTACCTGGGACTCAGCTACTTGGGCCATCACTGATAACCTCCCAAGTCTAACATTAGCAGGAAGCTGGAATCAGAAGTAGAGCCAGGACTCAAACTCAGGTATTCCAATATGTGTTGAGGACATCTCAAATGACATCTTAACTGCTATCCCAACAGTCACTCCCCTTTATGATGTCTTAATATTGGATAATATAAATCCTCCAGCTTTCTTCAACATTGTTTTGGCCACTCTGGTTCTCTATCGTAAAAATTTTACAATCAGTTACTTTTTTTTTTTAAAAGCCTGTCATGATTTTCATTGGGATTCTGTTGAATCCATACATAAACTAGAGGAAAATTGAAGTCTTAGTGGTATTGAGTCTGCCATTACTTGAACATAATACATTTCTCTATATTTAGGTCAGCAGTATTGTCTAGATTTTACTGTACAGGTCTTATATATCTTTTATGTATTTATACCTACATATTTCATATACCTTGATTAATTTTTTTAAATCTAAACATCCCCCATTATTCTTTGATAATTATTTTCTGGCATGACAGACCAATCTTACATATTCCCAACCCCAGTCCTGAAGTCAGCTGCCTCTGCATGAAGCACTGATTCTTCTTAGTGGAAATTTGTATGAGAAGCCAAGATCAGGTGCTGGGGTGTACATTTCTGCTGGGATCTTTTAGCAAAGAGTTAGAAATGTGTGTGTATTTGTCTCTTTCTCCACATGGAATACATGTATGTCCAAACTGCATGTGTACACATAAAACATACACTATGTGAGTATGCATACATATGCGTAAATGCAGCAAATACTTGTATACACACCCCCCACACACAAACAACATGTACATATACCCACATACGCACGTACTTACAGATGACCTATCTTTCTATGTCTGTATAATAAACCACAAGCTAATACTACTGTCTTCCATTTTGTTCTGGCTCCGCAGTATTCTTTCTAGCATTGACCTTTCTGTATTCTTACTGTGAGAAACTTGGCTCTCATTATCCACAGTATATTCCACTTGACTCAGTCCTACAACCTGCATTAAGTAGTTTCAGTCTGCTAACCACACTGTGGAAAACAAATCTACCTACTAGAATTTAATATTTACTTGTATTTCATTTTATCTTTACCTTAAAGGTAGATAGTCAAAATACCGTGTGTAAAAGTTACTTGAATTAGATATTTTCCTGCTTTAATATGTTATTTAAAATATAAATACATTTATATTTTTCTTTTTATTCCAACTCAAATTCTTTTTACCTTACCCCTTTTGATTTCTTCATATATTTATTTGTTTGACTACATGAAACACAACATTGTTCTAAAATTCTAATCTATACCAGAAACTTATACCCAGAGAAATACCATCTTTCCCCATTCCTCTTTAGCCCATGCCTATCTCATCACCCTCTCTGCCCGTGATCTAGTTTGCCCCTGTTGGCAACTAATGTCAGGTGTTTTAATTACCCATCCTGTGCTTCTTCTCCCACAAATGAGCAGATACATGTATATTTTCTTATACCCCTTTCTTTGTGACATGAAAAACACCATATTATAGATACAGTCTTTTGCACTTTGCTTATTTCATATATTGTATTCTGGATATCACTCTCTGTCAGCTTTTAGAGATCTTTTACATTTATTTTACAACTTCATAGTATACCATTTTGTGGATGTTTATCCAGTCACTTCTCAGTGTTCAGGCAGTTTGGTTATCTTTGATATTTTGTAGTTGCAGACAATGTTTTACTGATTTTGCATTTGTGCATTCTCTTATTTTAGAGGTCTATCTTAGGGCAAGCTTCAAGAAGTTGATTGTTTTGTCAGAAAGTAAATTCAGGGGGTAGGTATTTGATGCAGCAGTCAAGATAATGCTTAGTATGCCCATATCCCCAATCAAAATGCCTGAATTTGAGTCGCAGCTTCTGGCTTCCACTTGACCAAGCTTAAGCTGTTGTAAGCATTTGGGGAATAAACCAACCAGTGGGAGCAGTCTCTCTCTCTCTCTCTCTCTCTCTCTCTCTCTCTCTCTCTCTCTCTCTGTGTGTGTGTGTGTGTGTGTGTGTGTGTATAAACAAAGTAAATGCATCTTGTTTTGTTAATGGCAAATTCATGTCTGAAAGTGTTACACTAACTTGCATTCCTGCTAGCAAAATTTGAGAGTATCTGCTACCACAGAGCCTTCCCCACGAAATATATTATGTCACATTTCCATTTTTGTTAAGGTAAAAGCTGTATATCAATATAATTTTCACTTGCCTTTCTCTATGTGTGAGATTGAACATCTCTTCATGTATTTAAGGGGCATTTTAAAGTTCTATGTGAAATGTCTGTTCAAATTTTTTGCTCATTTTTCCAGTGAGTTTTTGGCTAGTTTCTTTTCATTTAAAAAAATGTTTAGTTTTCATCTACATGAAAGGCAGAGAGAAAGAGATAATGAGATCTTGTATCTGCTGGTTCACTCCCCAAATGCCCAAATAGCCCTGGCTGGGCAAGGCTAAAGCCATGAGCCCGTAACTCCATCTGAGTCTCCCATGTAGGTGGCAGGGGCCAAAGTACTTGAGCCATCATCTGCTGCCCTGCCAGGATGTGTTAGCAGGAAGCTGGATCAGAAGTAGAGTAGCCGGGACATAGCCTGGCTCACCAGTGCAGGATGTGGGCATCCCAGGCAACAGCTTAGCCAACTGTACCACAACACCAGTCCCTCTTCTCAATTTTCAACTTCTTTTTAAATTTGACATATTAGCTATTTATCTGTAATACATGTTGCAAAAATTGTTCCCACTCTTCAGTTGTCATTGACTTTGTTTAGGATGTCTTGCTGTACAGAAGTTTACTTCTATAGTCAAATTTATTGATCTTTCCATGAGTATGCCTGGATTTTGAGGCACCCTACAACCTTGCTTTCAGTACTTGTATGATTTAATTTCATACATTTAGATCTCTAACCTGTTTGGAGCTTATTTTTCAGTGTAATGTATGGAACCATGTGTTCTTTTTAAACAGCTACTTGGTTTTCCTAGGCCCAGTTTAAAAATACATTAATTTTACCTCAGTGTTCTGAGTTAGTAACTATATTGTATTCCAAGTTTCCATATGTGTTTCTATTTCCATTTACTATTCTAATCCACTGATTTTTTTGTTTTGTTTTGTCTGTTCATGTACAAGTATCATTCTTTTTCAAGCTCTGAGGCCTCATAGTATATTTTAATGTATGGTATATCTAGTTCCTGCACCTGTCATTGTTCAGTATTTCCAAGACTATTTGTACATGTTTTTCCATATTAACTTTAGAGTCAGTTTTACTAGTTTTAAAAGACATTTAGTGGTAATTTTAGTGGGATTGTCTAAAATGTATAAATTTAGAGAATGACATTTCTATATTTAGTCATCCTGTGTAAGAAAATGGGATGTCTTTCCATTTACTAATGACTGTTATGAAAATACTTACCAAAATTTTAAGATATGTTTTCTGTTTTGGTTCATTTCAACTTTATTGTAGAAAAATAGAAATTTTTCATGTAAAATAATGTTCTGTTATAGAGCAACAATAGCCCAAATACATAGGAACTGTTAATCAGGATTTGTTGTTTATTTTATAAGTTTTCTGTTGTTTGAATTTAAATATACATTTTATGTAGTTATTTACTTATATAGCCATTTTTCTTTTGTGAGTTTTTTGAATGCAAGAGTTATTTTGTATTTACCTTATCCTAAGGCTATATATTGTCTTTGGCAAATAATCGCTATTTCAGTATTTCTTTAAAAAAAAAGATTTGTTATTTATTTGAAAGGCAAAGTTACAGAGCGAGAGGGTAAGACAGATTTTTCATCCACTGGTACACTCTCCAGATAGGCTGGGCCAGCTGGAAGCCAGGAGCTTCTGCCAGGTCTCCCATGTGAGTGGAAAGGGCCCAAACACTCCAGCCATCTTCTGCTACATTTCGCAGGGAGCTGGATTGGAAGTGGAGCGGCCAGGACATGAACCAGCGCCCATATGGGATGCCAGCATTGCAGGAAGCAGCTTTGCCACAATGCCAGCCACTTTTTCTTGAATTGATTTTATATGGGCAGAGACACACACTTTGTGGAGACTAAGCTTGAGTTAGTTTGGGTTGTTCTAGGTGTTTCTTTTCAACATATCTCTCTCATTGTGTGAGTGGCAAGTAATGTGCTTTTTCACTATACCTGATTGACTTTATCTTTGGGGATAAAATTCTACTGTTTGTATTTGTTTACTATAGTGAGGCAACTTTCGATTACTACAAAGAATAAGGTTCCATTATGTCAATTTTTAAAACATCCTTTTTGGAAAAAATAGACAATACATTATTTATACTTACCATCATTTTCTTTCTTGGGAGGTGCTGGTGTTACACTTTCATCTTTTTGTAATTCAAGACTTCTCTTGACAGATCTTACCATTGTTTGTTTTTCCTGTTGGTAAAATAAAAGTTTATTTCCAGTTATGATAAAGCCTGATTCTGAAACTGAAGAACCATGGACAATACTTTGTCACAATTTGTGACATTGTTTTTGTGCTCCATTAGGATTTTATACATAATTCCATTTCATCAGTTATTAAACTATGATGTAAATAGTTAGAGCCAGTTTTCACTCTGGATTGTGATCTTCTTGAGCAAAAGAACCGAATTTAAAATGTTTGTTATCTAAACTCAGCGCTTAGGTAAATATTGAACATACTGAAATCCCAAATGGGATCTGGGGGAGAATTCCCTGAGTCAGATTGAAAGTAGTTTTGAGGTAAAAGTGTTCCTTATGGTTCTTGTCTGAATGGAGGACCTCATATCAGATTCTGTCATTATGTGTGGGATCACTCCACCAGCAGGTCACACACTTTCTGTCTTACAGAGATGGCCTTTTAATGACCCCCGGCCTCCATTAAGCACTGGTACTCCCCACCCTTTTGTGCCTGCCTGCCTGCCCTGCTCTCTAGTCAGCACCCCCTCAACCGCAGTCTACAGTATTAACTTAGATCTGAAGTCCTTATCATTTACTCTCTTCCAGTCTTGGAGAGCAAATTTTCTGCCAATTTTTATTATGTGTTCTGTGGGGTCTTGTTCTTTCTACCTTGTGAACTTGTTCCTCCTTGTCCCTCTCCTGTCTCCTGACTGCCCTCAGCCTCCAGCCCCTTCTGTATGCAAAGATTCTCCCACCACTCTGCAATTGTACATTAAGTCCTGTTGAATTTCACTCCACAAATCTTATTTCCTACATTTATATTAAGATACAGTCCTGCAGAGAAAAGAAACAGAAAAATCATCTCTATACTTAATACTTTTTAGAAACCATAGAATTTTGAAATTGCTCTTGTAGTTGATAGATTCACCCAAGTCAGTCAATGGTTTATTTTTCTTCCTCTTTTAAAACATGAAATGAAGACTAATAATAACTATTTTATTTGTCTTAATCATGGGGAAAAATAATACTAGCATACTTGTATTAACTGACTCCCTTGAGAGAAACGGATATTAAAATTTGCTCATCAGGTGCTACCAAAACAAACAAACAAAAAAAACTAGAACTAGTCCATTTTAAAATCTTTACCATCTAATTTACCATCCAACAGTATTTTTGAAGCAGTCATGACTGTGAAATTTTTGTATATCTCATTTCCTGTGCCTCACACACAGCAGGCAACAAATAACTTATATGCTGTACTAGCTTTTTCTGTATCCATCATTTGTTTCTGTGTGCCAAGAAAACCACAAATAACCACATTACCCATAAAAGTAAGTTATGAATCATGTGGTAAAGAAGGCATCCTACAATGTTAATTGTAACTGCAGTCATTTGATAAAAATTAGGAAAGCATATAAACTGTCAAAACTGATTTATAAAGAAAGGAACTTTTTGTGTTTTGGTATTATATTGAGTTGGCATAACCAGGTATCTTTTGTTGATTTCCTTGAATGGTATTTTTCTAAAATAATAAAACTTAATCTAATAATTCATATTTGTTTCTCCTAATACAGAATTCTCCTAATTTATTTTTGAGCAATTACATGCAAATAAGGGTCATTAGGCAACATCACTTAACATATAAGTGGTAACTGTTCAGGGACCATCTTAAATTCTAGTTTTGTTTACATTTTATTTTTTGATTACTATAGTTGCTGTTTGGTTACCATAGGTACTTGTCTATTAATTTGGGAAGCGTGCACAGTTTTAAAAATGTAATCTTAGGGACAATTATTATAAGTTATTTTGAATCAGTTAAAGTGCTCTTCCTTTTCCCTTACCTTATCAGACACATACAGGAAAAACAAAAAAATGCATTTAAATTGGCACTACTTTAAAAGTTTAAGTTTAGAGTAAAAATAAAATACCTCAATATTTTTTCCATCCAAGTATTTATCCTCATAATCTTGGCTAAATATGGCTTCTTCCAAATGATCTGCTGCATAGTCGAAGGTGAGGGGTGATTCCTGCGGAGCTGGTGGTGCTGGCTTTATCAGAGGCACAAACAGGAGCAGGAGAAGTGTAGACCGCAGAGTCTTCATTTTAGTAGGAACTCAGGTGACTGGAAGCTAATAAACTAGTGGCCTACTGCCTGTGGAACAAAACTTTCTTTTTCCCTGGAAATAAAAATGCAGACCATCGAAGCAATATTTAAAAGCTTAGAGAATGTTTTGGCAGAGTGTAGGCAGTAGGGGCCAGAGAATAAGTATTTAACCCTTAGTGATCTTTAATTAGATGCTAACAGCTTTTATATATCAGTGAACATCCTGAAAAATTGTTTCAGAGAGTAGTTTTATTTCTCGTCTATCAAAAACCCAAGAAATATTGATAGTTTGAGTTTCTTAATATTTGAGTGTCTTCAATAGAGAGATAGTTTTGTGCAGCTGAAATCTTGGGATACCTGTTGTATAAATGGTTAAAGTGAAGACCCAAAATCCTGTCTCATGTGAGTTAAAGATATCATATTTCAACATGGCTACTTTATAAAAACTCTTACATTGTTATAAACAGAGAGCAAGAAAAGTTTTTAAACTTTAACCTTAGATTTTATATTAAGAAAAGTAGTTATTAAAAGTTTTAAGTTGTACAGAATATAGGAAAATCTGTACATCTTTAATGTTCTTAGTTTTGCAATTTTAATAGGTTATCACTGTTTTTAGTTAATAGTATTGCTTTTTTTTAATTTAAACTATGGAAACTACAAAAATAGTATTGTAGACCAGGGGAAATATATAACTTTAATCAGGGAACTTTGGGGAATGTAATAGAAAGGATTATTTTGGGCTATCAGTGGATTTTTATCATGTGGGTATATATTTCAGACTTTTCCTTAAGTAACGTAGTACAGAATCACTCAGAGTTGCTGACACTGCATTATAGATGCCAACCTGTCAAAAACCCAACAGTTGAAAATTAAGACGATAATGGGTGTCTGACTTTGGCAGCACCTCATTTGTGATTCTTGCCTGCATAGATATTAAAGTTATGTAATGACATAGGAAAGTACTTGTTAAACATTAATTGTTCAAGGTCATTGAAACACAAATTAGAGATGATTTGTAACAATTATGAAGACCATTAGATAAGTCACACTTTAACCAACAATATTTAAGGTAAAATGAGAGAAACAAGCCTACCGTTGCAGCTGTTGTGCAGTTTTTGTGTGGTTTTCCTCATAGATGTTCGTGCCTATGCTTTATCCCCAAGTGGGAGGGTGAAGGAGGAAAGCTGTGGGTTGATTGCAAACTGATGAATAGATTTCAGGCCCCAGCAGCTTGCAGCGCAGTCTCCATGTGCAGAGATCCTTGCCAACATTCTTCCTCTGGGGTGAACTGCAGGGTTTCACACTGCAGAGCTGTGTTTCACATAGCTAACTGCTGCACTTGGCCACCTCCCACTCACATAGTACAATAAGCTAGTGTCATTTTCCTTGTGGTAAACACTGATATTTTAGTGAATATTCACTTATTAAAAGGAGTTATAAAATCATGCGCTTTCTTTTGTTTTGGTGCTTTCCCAAAAGATAAAACATTTGCTTTTAGAATGAAGTAGAACACTAAACTAATGCATACTCTATGTTCATGATTTTATGAGCACTAAAAATACTGTCCTAACAATGCAGGTAATGTAGAACCAGAAGTTCCAGTGGAAAGAAAGCTTAGTTTTAGCACAAATTTCATGCTCTGGAGCTTTACTTCCTTTATTTTAGTTGTATGTAACCAAAATTGAAGTATGAAAATTAATTTTTTAAAGATTTACTTATATTTGAAAGGCAGAGAGAGAGAGAGGTCTTCTATCTGCTGATTCACTCTCCAAACGGCCGCAGTGGGCCACAGAGCTGGGCTGATCTGAAGCCAGGATCCAGGAGCTTCTTCTGGGTCTCCCACATGGGTGCAGGGGCCCAAGAACTTGGGTCATCTTCTACTGCTTTCTCAGGCCATAGCAGAGAGCTGGATCAGAAGTAGATCAGCCTGGACTCGAACCAGCTCTCATATGGGATGCCGGCACTGCAAGCGGCAGCCTTACGCACTATCCCACAGTGCCGGCCCTTAAAGTTAGTTTTTTAAAATAAATTTGATTTATAATTCTGGGGCTAATGAATACAAAAGTTTGCTGAATGAAAAGTACTGGATAAAATTATTTTAATATTGATTTTTAAATGTTAAAGTGGTATTCTAGATTCCCCATGAGCATCTGTAAAGATTCACTTTCCTCCAAAAATTGTTTATTACTTTTTGGTGCTTTTAGCAATCAAAATATTTTTCTCCTCTAAGCTAAAAATTTAACAGGTATGGATGAATATTTTATTAAAATAGAAAATGTACAGCTTGATACTTAGTACAACAGAAAATTTGTTTATTATAACATTTTTCCTTGAAAATTTATGACCAGAGGTCATAGCTATGACAAAGCAGGTAAAGCCACCACCTGCAGCACCAGCATCCCATGTAGGCGCGGAATCAAGTCCTGGCTCCTCCACTGCAATCCATCTGCCTGCTAATGCACGTAATACAGCATGGGAAGATGGCCCAAGTGCTTGGACCCCTGCACCCATGTGAGAGACCTGGATGAAGCTCCTGTCTCCTGGCTTCAGCCTGGTCCAGCCCTGACCATTGTGGCTATTTACTATTGCAGTCATTTGGGGAGTGAACCAGCAGATGGAAACACATCTCCCCTCCTCTGCCTCTCACTGTCTATAACTCTGGCTTTCAAATACAACAAATAAATTTTTTGAAAGATGTATTTATTAATTTGAATGGCAGAGTAATGCTGAGGCAGAGAGAGAGAGAGAACCTTCCAATCCACTGGTTCATTCTGCAAATGGCCACAATGGCTGGAGCTAGGCTGATCCAAAGCCAGGATCCTGGAACTTCTTCCAGGTTTCCTGTGTGGGTACAGGGGCCCAAGAAGTTGGGCCATCTTCTACTGCTTTCCCAGGTGCATTAGCAGGGAGCTGGATCAGAAGAGGAGCAGCCGAGGCTTGAGCCAGCATCCATATGCCACCAGGTATGCGAAGGCTGTATCCCAAATAATTCTTTTTTGAAAAGTTATTACCAATGAATAGAATTTTGTTAGCACTCATTCATTTAATAAAAATGTATTCTTGTGACAGAACTGCAGACAGTTAAACTCAGACAAGCAAAACCCAGTTTTCTCCTGATACTTTAATGGTGTCTAAGTCAGCAGGAGAGGGAGCACACAAGTGACTGGAATGCACAGTAGGGCTTGCTACACAGAAATGTGCACAGGGATCTTGGGAAACATGGATGAAGCCAGAGACCCTGACTGGGCCAGGTCCAGGAGGTGTATCTGTGCTGATTTCTGTAGAGAGTATGGGGAAGGGGCAGGTTGTGATGTTCCATGCAAGGGGAGTAGCACTTGGGCAGGATGGCTGGAGTAGATCATTTAGAAAATTTGTAATTAGTTGCAGATGTCTGAAACTTGGAGAGGAAGAAAGACATAAGGGAGTGGGACAACAGTGGAATATAGATCAGATAAAGGAGAGTCTTTTATACCCTACTATGCTGGGCTTGAGTTTATAGTCAGAGACTAGTGAGAGAATTTTCTTAAGCCAATGAATGATATATCCTATTTAAATATTAGAATCATCCCTCTAATGGGAGCAGTCATTTGGTATAGCCATTAAGACACTGCTTGGGACACTTGAATCCCATTTCAAAGAGCCCTGGGTTCAAGTCCTGGCTTTGCTCCATATTCCAGCTTCCTGCAACATGTATCCTGGCAAGTGGTGGCTGCAGAGGTTGGATCCCTGCAATCCAGAGGGAGTCCTGGATTGAGTTTCTAGCTTCTTTGACCTGGCTCAGCCATGACTGGGTTGGGTGGAGGGTGGTATTTGGTGAATGAGCCAGCAGATGATAGAGATCTCTATGCCTTTCAAAGAAATTAAATAAATAAGTCTCTCTAATGTTGCCTTTGTGAAGAATATCACTGCTTATTTTATTATCTATTACTGTGTAAGAAGTTACTGCAAATCAGTATCTTAAAATAATACACATTTGTTAGCTCACAGTGTATGTAGGTCAGGAGCCTGACATGGCGTGGCTTAATCGTGTCTGAAAACAGATTTTGAAGTGTAACAGATTGCAATCTCACTTCAAGGGTTGAGTAGGGAAGAACCTCATTCTAAGCCCACGTGGCTATCTGTAGCATTTTCTTCTTTGCAGAATGTAGGACTAAGGGCCTCCGTTTCTTGCTGGCTGTTAGCTAAAGGCCTCTCTTGGTTCCTCACTGTATGACTTCTGCCATAGGGCAGTATGTGTCTAAACAGTCAGGGAGATAGTGTTCACACAAGATGGGCATTGTCTTTTGGAGCATTCCCATATGCAAAACCAGATACACGCTGACAGCTTTGCAATACTCTGTTGGTTAGAAGCAAGCCATAGTTCATACCCACATGAAAGGGGAGGTGATTACACAAGACAAGAATCTGAAAGTGATCAGAATTCACCAGAAAATAAACAAACTTATTTTATTGCCTAGAGTTAGACTGACTCTAAAGTTTGAGGGCATTGTCCCCAAGGCCACCCTCACTCAATTCTGATACCAACTACAGGTTCAGGATGTTGCTGAATCAAATCACCCTCACATTTAGCAATGTCTGGGACCCCGAGAACTCACTATTCTGCTCATGGTGATGGCTGTTACAGGTAAAGGGAATGCATAAAAATCAAAAGAAGAGATACATGGGGTAGAGTCTGGGGCTTTCCAGTGTGAAGCTTCCATTGCTCTCAGTGGGTGTTGGTCTCCTACCCATTGATGTGTGACAATACATGGAGTGTTGCCAACCAGGTCAACTCATCTAAGTCTTGTTGTTCAGAAGTCTATTTTAAAAAAACTTATTTATTTATTTGAAAGGCAGAGTGATGGGCATGGTTGAGGGAGGATATTTTCCATTCTCTTTCTTTTTCTTTTTCTTTTTTTTAAGATTTTTTTTTAATTTATTTGAAAGGCAAAGTTACAGTGAGGCAGAGAGAGAGAGGTCTTCCATCCACAGGTTCATTCCCCAAATGGCCGCAGTGGCCAGAGCCGGGCCCATTCGAAGCCAGGAGCCAGTAGCTTCCTCCTGGTTTCACATGTGGGTGTAGGGCCTGGCCCAAGCATTTTTTAAAAATATTTATTTATTTATTTGAAAGTCAGAGCAATCTCTTCCATCTGCTGGTTCACTCCCCAATTGACTGCAACAGCCAGAGCTGTGCCGATCCAAAGCCAGGAGCTTCTTCTGGGTCTCCCTCCACGTGGGTTCAGGGGCCCAAGGCCTTGAGCCATCTAATGCTTTCCCAAGCCATAGCAGAGAGCTGGATTGAAAGTGGAGCAGCCAGGACTTTAACCATGGGATGCCAGCACTGCAGGCAGTGGCTTTACCCACTATGCCACAGCACGGTCCCCTGGGCCATCTTCTGCTCTCCCAGACCGTAGCAGAGGGCAAGATCGGAAGTGGAGCAGCCAACTCTCGAACTGGCACCCATATGGGATTCCGGCACTGCAGGCGGCAGCTTTGCTCACTTGCCACAGCGTTGCATCCCCCTCTCTCTTTTTAAGGATTTTATTTATTTATTTGAAAGGCAGATGACAGAGGAAGAAGCAAATAGGTCTGCTGGTTCATTCCCCAAATGTCTGCAGCAGTGAGGGCTGGGCTAGGCTGGAGCCAGGAGCTTAGAACTCCATCTGGCCGGTGCCGTGGCTCACTAGGCTAATCCTCCACCTTGCGGCGCCGGCACACCGGGTTCTAGTCCCGGTCGGGGCGCCGGATTCTGTCCCGTTTGCCCCTCTTCCAGGCCAGCTCTGTGCTGTGGCCCGGTAGTGCAGTGGAGGATGGTCCAAGTCCTTGGGCCCTGCACCCCATGGGAGACCAGGATAAGCACCTGGCTCCTGGCTTCGGATCAGCGTGGTGCGCCAGCCGCATTGGAGGGTGAACCAATGGTAAAGGAAAACCTTCCTCTCTCTCTCTCTTTCTCTCTCACTGTCCACTCTGCCTGTCAAAAAAATAAAAATAAATAAAAAAGAACTCCATCTGGATCTCCCACATGGGTGGCAGGGGCCCAAGAACATGGACCATTTTCTGCTTCTCCCAGCTTCTGCAGGGAGCTGCATTGGAAGTGGAGCAGGTAGAACTCAAACTGGCGCTCCGATGTAGGATACCAGCC